GAGCTGTGCCAGGGCAGGCTCAGGTTGGAGCTCAGCACAAGGTTCTTCCCCCAGAGGGTGGTTGGCACTGCCCAGGCTCCCCAGGGCAGTGGGCACGGCCCCAAGGCTGCCAGAGCTCCAGGAGCGTTTGGGCAACGCTCTGAGGGACAGGGGGGAGTGTTGGGGTGTCCTGGGCAGGGCCAGGGCTGGCACTGGATGATCCTTGGGGGTCCCTTCCAAATCAGAATATTCTGGATTTCAATGAGGCAGAATTTGGCCTGGCACCACAACCACCACCCAATAGTTCTCCTGCACTAAGGAGGGGAGATCTGCAACACGCACCAACTCTCTACAGTCACTTTGAAACACAACCTTAAAGGCTTCCAGGACTCAAAAACTACTATTACCTCTTCATATCGAGAGAGAGAGGCCCAATAACCCTGATACCAACCTTTGCAACAAGAACAGGTGGCACAGGGAGTGCAAACCTGAGGTGTGAGTCTTCACAGGTGCAGAACTAAGCCGAAGCACATCGATGCAAAGCTGGCCTGAAGACTCACACGAGGTGATTCACTGAGCCATATTCTAGTTTTAACACATATATGAGGGAGATTATTCTTTTTTTCCCCACCCCAGCCACCCTCAGAGAGTCCAGCTGTTGGCTTCTCTCACAGCAGAGCACATATTGCTTTACATTCTCACTGCTGGCCACTCGAGCCAAAAAGGCAGCTCAAAGACTTCGTGAGGCAGAGCTGAAATTCTCCAAAGCCCCCACAGATCCTGGGGCTTAGGGCTCTCCTTGAGTCATGGCTTGTAGACTTAGAGAAAGGAGCACGAGGTCTTAGTTGTGACCTGGGCAGAGCAGGTCGTTAAAATTCAGCCTCTAAGCCCCTGTGCTGAGCTTCTTTTTGCCTGGATTCTGTCTTCCCCAACACTCAGCCTTGAGCTGAAGGCATCCAAACTGGAAGAAATCCCTGCTTCCCCTCAGGGTTTTCTTCTTGTGGTTAATCAGCCCCCCAGCCAGAAATGGATGCATTATTCTAATTCGAGTTTTTGTGGTTTCAGTGCACAGATGTTGCTCCTTGATGTGTTTTTTATTTCTGAACCAGCCCTTGAGTTCCAAGCATTTTCTTTCCTTGGAAATATGTACACACAGTAATCAAGTCACCTTCAAATCTTCTTTCTGGTAAACTGAACAGATTATAGAATGATCGAATGGTTTGGGTTGGAAGGGATCTCAAAGGTCATCCAGTTCAAACCCTCTGCCACGGGCAGGGACACCTTCCACCAGCCCAGGGTGCTCCAACCTGGCCTTGGACACTTCCAGGGCTCCAGGGGCAGCCACAGCTTCTCTGGGAAACCTATTCCATGGTCTCCCCACCCTCACAGTTCAGCAGCATGCATATTCCCAAACCTTATTCCCTTAAACCTTGCTATGAGGTCCCAGCTTCTGGAAGTCTGGGGTTATTCGAGTATTTCCACTGTCTTTTAGGAAAACAAAGTTGTTTACCTGCTGCATTTGTTCTGCTTGAAACATGAGAAAGTCCAGGGCAAAATTAAAATGTGATAATTTAAGAAGGTTTATGCCTTTTAAACTAATACGTATTTTTTTCCTTACACCAGAGTGAGTTATCTGATGAAAAACAACGTGACAGTGAGGATTATGTAAAGAAATTCCCAGTATCTCTGATTTTATGCAGTAATTTGCATTTCCCTGCGAAAATAAATAGGGGTAAAATCCAAATTTACAAAGGCTATAAAACTAGAGGTCAAAAATAATCTGTGCTCAGGGTTATTTAACACCAGTAACAGAACACCACAAAGTGTAGATACCTCTGTTGGCATTTGTGATTTTATTCCTCTCAGAGCAGATCTTATCCAGCTACAGCTGCCGAAATAGCACCTGAACTAAAAATGTGTCTCAATATCTGGGCACTTTACGTGAGCCAAAGCTGTAAATTTCCTCATATAAAAATCCTTGCCCGCGGTGGAATATTGATTTTTACACCTAAGTAATGCCCCAGGTCGGAGAAATCTGTGCCATAATAAAGTTATAAAGGGAATGTTTTTGTCTGACCCGACGATTCAGACGTGCTTTAGAAGATTAAAAGATGTAAAGTGAAACTGAAATGACAAAAAATGCTCTTTAAAAAGTCTGTTTTCCCCCTTTTTTTTTTTTTTCTCAGAAAATAAAGCCGCTTCCACTCAACTGCCCTCTGTCCTAAGTTATTTGTGGAACTCGGTGTTCTACCTAAATATTGAAAATATCTACTCAGATACAGAAAGAAGTTCATTCCTCTAATTTTTTAAATACATTTCAGGGCTCCAGTGGATTAAAATAGGAAAACCTGCTTTGATTTTTGTAGCCCAGGTAGTTTAAAGCTATATCTTAAAGATGTAATTGAGATTTAAATTTACATCTCAAGATATATGCATATAAAACACTGCAGAAAAAGGAATTACTGGCACAGGGGAGGCAAAAGAAAATAAATATTTGTTCACTCCTTCAATTTTAGAAAGATTTAACTGTAGATTCTGGTTACTTTATTACACCCACTCCATGTATTTTTTGGGGGGAAGAAATTTCCATAAAATATTCCATATTTCCATAAAATAATCCTTACACAAACCAAGACACAGCTGAACTCCTTTGTTCAGCTTCTCCAAGTCTAGGAATCCAAATAAGATCCTGTTCTTGGGAGGTTTTTATCCATTTCCTCTGCACCACAAAATTTTATACCAAACACCCCTCAGTGGATCCCAATTCCAAGGGAATTTTTCTTGAACTTTGCACTGATGAGAAAACAGAGCCTGATTTTGATATCTAACAGTAAATCTACATAGGAGGAGGAAAAGAAAGCTGTGGGGAATGAGGGGTATATTTGGGAAGAGCTGTGGGATTAGCTGCTTTTGGCATGGAAATTAATTCCAATCGGTTGCTCATGACTTCAAATTTGGAAAAATGCCCAGTAATAAATTGAAAAACATATATATTTTAAGAAAAACAAGAGGTTATTGGCATTGACAAGGCGGCAGGTATAAAAATATTCTGGATATCAGCAAAACTGCATGGAAAGTCACGGATTTCACGGGATCAGCAAGGTTGGAAGAGACCTTCAAGGTCATCCAGTTCCACCATCAAATTTAACAGTTCAAATTGAACAGTTGTTTCAAAAATATTAAAATTATCCTCCTCTTTACCAACTGCCTGATGTTTTGGTGGGTTTTTTTCCCCACGTAGCTTCAGACCATCACACCATTTCTGCAGCCTCAGCAGTGATGACAAAACAAAAGAGACAAAAAGCCCACTGGGCGAAGTCTACAAAAGCTGTTTAAAGCTGCATGGGGTGAGAGGCATCATTTAATCTGGGGGAGCTCATTCCTCTTAGCACAGCGACCCAAAATCCTGGGTCGTGGTTTCAGGTTCGTGTTCCTCCTCCATTTGTGTACCTCTTCAAACAGGATAAATACGAATTTATGGGATCGTGGAACGCTTTGGGTTGGAACTCATCACTTTTTTTTTTTTTTTTTTTTTTGTTATTTTCACTTTTTCCCCTTGTAGTTAGGTGACAGGTACCTTGCAGGAGGTGAGGATGGAGAGGCTGGTGAGCAGTAAGCACAGCCGTCATCTCGTCGTGGTCAGAGGGGTGGATGTACTCGTAAATGCTGTTTCCAGTCAGCTCCACCTGTGAAGGGACACGCAACACAGGCAGCTGGTTTATTTGTTTTGCCCTCGAGCAGATGGGTGACCACACACCCCGTTTTTTAGGGCAGACGGTGATGTATCAAACCCATCCTCCAAATTACACCCGTTCAACTGAATTAATTGACCTCCTTCAGCACTAGTTAATGTTATTGTGGGAATTTCTGGTGATGCATCAGAGGCAGAAGAGATGCTGTTGGAGAGAGCTGGGAATGGAGTGACAAACCAGAGCAGCTGTAGGAATGTCTGATGGCCCCAAAATGGGGTAAAACCTCCGTGGACGGCCTTAACGTCTCCCAAGGAGGCAGACACTTCAAACACAACGTTTCTCCAGGTTTCCCAGAAACTCTCACCTGCCCTCAGCTGGCAAGCTGAGCTCTCTGAGCCCAAAACCACTCCACTCACACAATCCCTTTGTGCCTTCTCAGGGAGCGTCCCCCACGCTCCATCCACAGCCAGGGAATTCCCAAGGCAGAATTCCACGGGGTTTTTTGCGCTGCTCTGAGTAAACACGCAGGGCTAAAGGCTGGATCTGTTTGAAACACCCGTGTGTTCCCTCTTCTCCCTTGAACTCTGCTGGCTTGGGGGTGGATTCCTGCCTTTCCCACCCTCGTGTCCCCGATAACTGTGACACACACACACACACACACAGTCAAGCGTCCCCTCTGCCAGCTCTATTTGCCACGTCTGAAACCCACCCCCAAAATCTCCAGATAGCTGAAGTAATTGATTTAAGGAGCCACCCAATACCCTGAGCCCGTGTTTTAAATTAGTGTCAGGCTGCCCGATTGTTCTGAGTGGCCTGATGGGCCGTGGGCCCCCGAGATCAGAGCCGGCTGAGAGGTGAAGTAATTTAACCCATTATTCTGAGCCGATCCCGCTGCTTTGCTAAGATGTGTGAGTTGCCTTT